AACGCTTCGGCTAACTGTGTTGGAGGAAGCTGTAAAATAACTGCAAAACTTTGTGGCTGCGTGCGTTCACAACATTTTACGAAACCTTCCCAAACTTTTGGTTGTTTCCAAACTTGCTTGAGAATTAACCGCTGAAGTATATTCATAACAAATCCACTTAATCTAGGATATAATGCTAAACTTTGTATCACTGTACGCATGAGTAATGTTGGAAGCGGTGTCATCTCCATAAGATGTTGCATTACAACAGCTACAGTTTCTTGCGTATATATTTGTTTTTCCGCAAAACATAAAGACGTAGCTGTAAATTGATATTACAATTTTGAATAAAAAATAGAAATAAGATTATGTGGGATCAAATAAACAAATTTGATATATTGTACCTTTTATAATTGTTTTTAATTCTGCTTTACTTGGATCTATATTATGCAACGCTATTAACAATTCAGCAGGTGTAATAGGAGATGTATGAGGTACACCACTTTCGTTATTATGAGTACCTAACAATCTATTGAATACCTATAAAAAAAAATAAAATATTAATAATATAACATGATTTGATTTTAAATTTATATTATTTTAATAATATTATATTATTATTTACTTCTTTAACAACAATAGGATTTAATTTTATGAGTTTCGGAAGAGCGGCTATTACTTCTTTTTTTGTTAAACCATTTAAGACTGGTATTAAAAATCGAACGTCTGAAACTCTAGTCTGATAAAGTTCTCGTACCCTTGATACTAATTCCACGCTTGGTGCAGCTAAAAATGAAAGAATATTATATTGATATTATACATAAAAATAATAAAAGCAAATATAAAATTATAAATTTATAATACATTTTTCTGTAAGAATATGAATAATTCTTGTAACTAGTGTTTCAGCGCCTTTAGGACAATTTTCAACTAATGCCAACAATTGTGGACTACCCATTCCTAAAGATCTTACAGGTCCTTCTACTAATCGAAGAACAATACGTTTGACATCTGCACTCATTGATGTATAAACTCTTGCCAATCTAGAAAAATAATATTAGTAAATATTAATATAATTATTATATGCTTTTGAAAAAAATAACTTACTCATGAATTAAGTCTTGATGTTCACTCAACAGAGCAAGATATAATCCAAGGCAAGCTCTTGTAGTTGATTCAGTCCATTGGGATTCTACTTGTGGCCTACCTCTATCTTGTCCGAAAACGATTTCAGGAGGTATGTGAAGTCGTAAGAAACCTAAATAAAGAACTGCATACTCTTCTATGAGTTTACTTAATTCAGGACGACTATACAGTTGACAAACTAATTGTATAGCAGCTTCTCTTATCTATTTATAAACATAAAATTAAAATATTTAAAATAAACATATATAACATATTTGAATTATGTACCAAATATGTATCAAATAACTATAAATTACCGTATTATTTTCGTGACCAGTATGACATAATAATACATTTAGAAAAACTAATTGTTTTGTTGGTCTACGAATAACCATCTCTTTCAATAATTGCAATGGTACCAATCCTCTTGTTTCATCAGAAGATACCATTTTTAAAGCTTCAACAGCATCTTCGGTAATTAAAGGTGCTTCCAAGTATAGCCTTTCCAAAATATATATATACATATATTTAAAATGACATATAATTCTTCATAGAATTTATTTATTACCTATATAATAATGTATCACGATCTTTGCCTTGAACTAAATCTATTGCAGATACTAAAGTACATAATAAAAAGTTATAAGCCTGATGTGGAGCTTCTTGAGGTTTCGTACATAATGTAGTTCGCCTTTGAAAACCCTGAAGCAATGCATATTCTTCATATAACCAACCTAAAGCTAAATCTAAACGGTTTCTCATATCATCAGTAATATAATGTAATACTGCCTCTTTAATGTATGGATTAAATGTTGCAGCTAGAGTAGTTAAAATTTTTGATCTAAAGAAAAATAAAAAAAAAGAAAATATTTTATATTAATTAATAATATTTTTAAAGAAATCAATAATTTATAAAATGATCTACCTTATGGCTGCCACACCACCAAACACAGCTGTTTTCTCAGAAAGTAAAATTCGATTCACAGCCATCAATAACATTTTTTCTTTTACTTCTTTTGACAATGGTTTTGTAACTTCAGACAATTTTAAAGCTTTTAAACGAGTTCTTGTTTTTGCTAATGATTTCTCATGTGCTTCTAGAGATGCCCTTGCTTCTTTCTCTTTTTCTCTATCCTTTTCACGTTTTCGTTCTCGTTTAGCTTCCGCTACGCTAATAGTTGGATTTTTTACTAAGTCTTCCATCACGGCATCTTCATCTTTAGCATCCTTTTTTTTCTTCGTTTTAGCTTGCTTTATTTGCGTTGCTAATAATTTAGCAATTGTCTGCCGCTGAATATTTATATCGGTCGTTGAAGTAGGCTGATATTCTCTTTGAAAGATAGCTGTCATTGTGTCTGGAACCCATGCCTGTTAAAAAAATGTATTTAATAAAAAAAATAAATAAATAGTTATCAATAAAAAAATTAGTCATTTTATATAAAAATTTATCTACCATACTATCCATTACTAAATCTGTAGCAATTTCTACACTTAATCTTTCAGCAATAAAACTTTCTGAAAGTTCAATTAATTCTGATAATTTTGAAGTAGGAATTAAACTGGGTACAATTTCCGTTTCATCTGATACTAAAGAAGTTTCAATTTTTACACGTTTTGCTGCAGAAGATGCAGCTGCTTCCTAAAAATCATATAAATTATTAATAATTAATAATTATCATCAGTTTATATAGTAAAAATTTATTTTTTGCACTTTTACTTGTTGACGTTTCTTCATACGTCGAATATCTTCTGGTTTTGGATAAGCTTTTAGAATTTCTTGTTCTTTTGCTCCTAATTGTGTTAATTGTTTAGCTATTATAGATACAAATTCTATGCTAGCTGGATGTTTCATCAATCCTAATAGAGTTAATTTTAATTGTTTTTGTACACTAGTTACTTGAGAATCGGATAATGTAGGTGGTAAATCATGTTGTAATCTTTGTAATGCTATAAATTGATAAATTTTAATTTAATCAAATTATAATTTTAGTTGTAATAATAATTGTGGGAAAGTTGAAATTTAATTATTAATTTAATGATTAAATTGTACTATTCTTTCCCTTCTTTCTTTTTCTCTTTTGAAAGTAGTATTATATACCTTGTATTACACCTGGCATGAATTGAGGTCTTGTTTTAGCAATCAATGCTAAAGATCCCATACATGTCATCAAATTAACACTACTAACATGTGGAGATCCATGAAATTTTATTAATAAATCCATTACATCATTAGCCTCTTCTTCTAATTTTCGTCTACGTGCTATTTTTAATGTTAATGGAATATCTTCTAAAGAAAAATCATCAGGTTTTTTAGGAATATCTGGATCAGGATATGTTTGTATTAAAACAACACCTTCAAGAAATTTCACAGCTTGTGTTCTAATACTGAATATGAAAAAGAAGAAATTATTATAAATTATTATAAATTAATTTTTAATCAAAATATATAAAATAAAATTTTAAGAATTTCTTTACCCATCATTATCACTGTCAATCATATTTATTATTTGAATTTTAAGAGCACTAAGTTGATTCCATGCTACTTCCATTTCTGCTGTAACTGTAGTAGCACTAGATATCCATTTCAAAGCAGCTCTTAATATTCTACCACTAGCTCTAAGAGCTCTTTTAGCAACAGCTGATGATTCATCAGAAACTAATCTTAAAAGTATTTGAACAACACGTGGAATTACTTCAGGTTGTTTTACTCTATAAATAAAGTATGATTATTTTATTCACAAATAATAATATTATAATATACATATATATGTATATATATTGTGTTATAAATTTTAAGAATGATTATTACCCAGCTTCTTCAATAAAACCTGTAATTGTTTTTCTAACTTCTGCATATCTATCTAAAGAAAACTGTAATGCTTCATCTAAATATAATGGAAGTAATTGTGGCTCCTTGTTAATTAAAATTTCTTGAACTTTACATAAATTTGTAACTTTTATATCTTCTCCTGGATTTAAAGAAGCTTCATTTAACCATTCAACTATCTGGAAGATGTAATTCAGATTATAATATTTATCTTTTTTTCTTGATAAAAATAATTAAAATTAAATAATTATGAATTTTTAATAAAATTTTTAATAAATTTCAGTTTTAAATACATACGCATTCGTATGTATAAATTTTTTTTTATTATTTGAGAAATTTATATTATTTTAAGAAAAAATAATTTGTGAGGTTAATGCACTGACCAAATCGCCTGGTCCTTTTTCTGGTTCTGATCTTCTATGTATTCGAGGATCCATCGTATATAATAATAATTAATAATAATAATTAATCTAAAGATAAAAGCGTAGGCAACAAATATTTGATAGTGAAATAACGGAGAATAATTAGACGAAGCTTCGATATGGTAGTTTATATGAATTCCTTACATAGATTTAGCCTACTTAAAAAACAGATATTTCTAATAATTTAGCAAAGACTCTATATTTTTTCATAAAATAATCTTTTTAGATATTATATTTAAAATTTTAGTGAATAAACAATAAAAGCTATCTTAACATACAATGAAATCGTTAGCGTTGCCATCTTGGCATTTTTCGTTGATCATTAAGCGCTATAATCGTTCCATATTGACACACGAAGCGGGAATTTTAAGATTTTTTCAATTACTTTTATTGTAAATACATTAATTAATGTTGTATTTCATTTATATAGTTTTTAAATAAAATAATTAATTTTTATGTATATTTTTTAATATATTTTACAATAAGATTAATAAAATAAAAATCTATGTTGTAATAAAATTAATATTTTGTTCTTCATAATCTTCATTATATCTTTATATATACATATATATATATAAATTTATATTATAGATATATTAAATAAATGATATGGATATAATTCAAAAATATTTAATTTGCTCTATAATATGCTAAGTTTCAGTATCATTTTAAATATAAAAATAACTTTAAAAATTATCAGAATATTTGCCGAGAGTCAAAGGTTAAGTAAACTTAATCGATACATATGTATTACACCTAATCCTACAGATAATAAAGGAAAAATTCAATTAAATGAAAAATATGGTTAGTTATCAAATCATAAAATTCATTTCAATATATGTTAATCAGTTAAATTTATATCATCTCTCAAGTAAGAGATATGTAATATAAGTTATATATTTACATCGTTGACTGACATGATTTCAAGTTTCTACGAGAAAATTGTTGGTACATCTTTTACAGTGGAATCAAATCAACAAAAAATTCTTTGCGTTGGAGTAAGCTGTTTAGATATTGTACAAACGTGCAAACAATATCCTGTAGAAGATTCTGACCAAAGGTAAAAGATATTTTTATATATGCGATTGCGCAGTATTATCCATTTACTAATCTGCTGATATTAATAATGATGTAAATAATATGTTGCTAACTAAAATATAATAATTGTAATTAATATTTTTAGTAATTTTATTATAATAAATAAAATTTAATTAATATTTTTAATATGTTCAAAATAAAATTTATTATTTTTTTTATTTTATGTTTTATTTTGCAGATCTATAGAATGTAGATGGCAAAGAGGAGGTAATGCATCTAACTCTTGCACAGTTCTTTCTCAATTAGGAAGCTCATGTGAATTTTTTGGTACTTTAAGTGCTGAAGAACATTTAAATTTTTTGCAAAATGATATGCAAAAATATAATATTGACTTTTCTCACTGTCCTATGATAAAAAAAATAGGATGTCCTATATCTACTATTATTCTAAGTCTAAGCTCTGGTTCTCGTACGATTGTACATCATAATCCAAATTTGCCAGAGTTAACATTAAAAAATTTTGAACAATTACATTTAGAAGATTATAGTTGGATTCATTTTGAGGGTAGAAATTTGAACGAAGTTTTATCTATGATGCAATGTGTGGAAAATTATAATAATATGCTGAATTATAGTCAAGATAATAAAGAGATAGATATAAATCAAGCACCAATTACTATCAGTGTAGAATTAGAAACTCCAAAACAAGAATTATTAGATTTATTACCTTATGTTGATTTAGTATTTATAGCTAAAGATTTTGCTCAAAGTAGAGGATATGAAAATATGAGTGAAACACTGAAAAATATTGGCGAAGAAGCTAAATCAGGGTATAAAAAAGTTACTTAAAAATTACATATAAAAAATAAGCATATCATCATAAAATTTTTTTTTTTAGAGCAACTCTTATATGTGCTTGGGGTGATAGAGGTGCTATGGCAAGAACTCCTGACAATATTATAGTACAATCACCTGCATTTCCACCACAAAAAGTTGTGGACACTTTAGGAGCTGGAGATACTTTCAATGCTGCAGTATTACATTTTTTAAATAAAGCAAAATTGGAATTTATCAGAAAACAAAATCTACGATCAAATGAAGCAACTAGTGTCTTACATACAGATATAAAAATGGAACGTAATATTAAAATGAATTATAATATTGAAAGTTTAGAATGTAGTCATACAGAATTTATTACACAAAATGTTTTGCAAGGAGCTGTGACTTTTGGTTGTCAAGTAGCTGGTACCAAAGTTGGCTTAAAGGGATATGATAAATTAGATGAAATTTTTAAAAATGCCTTATGTCAAATTAAATAAAATGTGATATAATGTTATTATATTATAATATAATGAATTTTATATAAAATAATATTATGTACATATTTCAATGCTATATTAAAAGACACAAAAATAAATAAATTTTTTATCTATTTTCAAAATCAAATTTTTAAATTTAATTTAAACTTTAATACTTTTTAAATTTGTACTTTTATTATAATAAATATATATATAAATATATATATAATATAATTATTAAAAAATATTATATATAATAAAATATATAATAAAATAATATAATATAAATATATATATAATATTTATCTAAATTTATAATCTATATTTAAGTTTTCATACTATCATACATATATCTAACAGAATATAATTCAACAAGGCCCATTAGCTCAGTAGGTTAGAGCGTCGTGCTAATAACGCGAAGGTCGTGGGTTCGATCCCCCCATGGGCCATTTTTTTCTACAAGTATCAAAAGCATTTTTTTCAAAATCGATTGATAAACTTTAAATATTTAAATATTTTAAATTCTTATTTTTGTTTTTTTATATAATAGGAAAGTCGAATTTTTTTTTATATTTTTAATAATATAAAATAAGTTTTATGCTATATCCACATATTAAAATTTGAAATATATTGAAATATTAAAGTTAAATTAAATTAAAAATAAATTAAAAATAATAATGTAAGATTAAAATCTTAGAAGAATAATGAAAAATAATCTAACAAAAAATAATATTTAAAAACTTTAACATTATGAAATGTGAATATAAAAAAAACTCTAATCTAAAATTATTATGAAATGAAATAATAATTACTATTTGTAGATAATACAGTACCACAAAAATAAATAGGTTCTCATTTTTCTATAATAACGATAAAATATACTGGCAAATAAATTGAGATCTACTCGTCGATAATCATTGCTCAGTGGACAATGTCGAATATTATAAGCGGATATCGATAACAATAGATTAATAAATTATGAATAAATTCAAAAAAATATTTTAAAATATAAAATATTATTGTAATATTATAATTTTCAATATTTATTCTATTAATTTTATAATTTATTGATGTAATATAATGATTTATAATATTATAACATATTTAATTTATTATCAAAAAATTTTCTATTGCTAATAACTCATTATTTATTAAAAGTAATTTTATTAATTTTAAAAATAATTTATTATTTTTATTTTATTAAAATTTTATTAAAATTTTTAATTTTAATTAAATTACTTTTATATATACTAGAAAATACTACTAATGATGATGAATTAATTTGATTTATAGATTTCTATCTTATTGAATAAACTTTCTAAATATATAACTTTATATATATATAATAACAATTGATATAGTTTTATTTATTTAAGTTATGAAAATACTACTAAAATATAATTTTTACTGATATGAAAAATATATATAAAAACAAATAAAATATGTGAACATGATTTTTATATAATCAATAATTTAGCAATTTTTAGATTTTTATTTTTAATTTTTGTGTCTTTAATAATTTATTATAATAATAAATGAAATAATTAATATATTTATATTTATATATTACATTGCAAATTAAAAATAGATTTACAATTTTTACGATCTATTAATATCGATCTTTGAAAATGATATTAAAATAGTAAGAAGATTTTAAAATCAAAAGTGAATTAATATATATATATAAAATTTAGAATGATGTGCGATATGATATTGATACTATTTGCATATATTTGTTAAATAAAAAGGATTAATTAATCATCCGAAAATATATTGAATTAATATACAAATTAATTGATTATCACTCAACAAATACAAGTAGTTACAGTTGATTAGAAAAATTCAAAATTTATTTGTACTTTTCATAAATTATTGTATAACAACTTATAATATTTAAATGATTTTATAATCTTATATATATATATATATTATATATAATAAAATATAAATGTAATAATGTTTAATATATAATAATGTCAATCTCGTAGTTTTTTTTTAAATTTTTAATAATGAAATACGTAACAATTCAAATGTCGACAATATACTGCAGACAACGTTCAACTCCCGGGCAGCCACCTGTCGCGCGCATGCGTATTCATAGTATAACACCTCTCTGATCATTTGAGTGTCAGTGTAAACCAAAATGGCGAGAGTAGTGATGGTTTGTGACAGCTCTTAGCTTGTTTCACTCATGTTTTCGAGTAGTTGAACGGGACGCGCGTGGTTATGTGATTCATGTGACTGATTTAAGTACAAAGGGTGAATGGACAGTAATGATTTATTCGTGGCAAACAGCAATACGCAATTTTTTTGAATCTCTCCAACTGGATCGACACCCTTCTATTTTCAATAGACAGTAGCGGGGTGACATTGACGTTACTCATTGAATTAAGTGCGTTTTCAATTATTCATAATCTGAATTTTTTTTTTGTTTTCTAACGTCAAATGTCTATCACCTATATTAATATGAACAACGGAGGAATATTCTGGGTGTGTATTGTCAATTGTTTGAAAACGAACATTAGAAAACAACATTAGAAAGAGAGATTGTTTGATAGTGTTGAGTATTATTGTTTCGCGGAAGTGTCACGAGGTGTGTATTGTTTCGAAAGTCTGATGTGAGTTCTGTGTCGTGCACGTTCAAACGCTTACGTTTTCAATCCCAGTCATAGGGACTATTCTGCGTGCGATATTTATTAATTATATCACTCGTTCTATTGCCACGGTGAGTCAATATTCTATCACGATGACATTAAACATCATGTAATATTTTCACACTTAAATTTCTGCTCATTGACTTGTTAATAACTTTTCTTGATATTTATAAATATTGTTTAACATTAGTTAATATAAAATGTCAGGGGTGATTGCCATTCATAAATATCTAATCAATGGATGAAATATTTTTATGATCATTATGTTCTCTATTGAAAAGATTGCATAGTGTCGGAAATTGTTTTGCAATATGTGCATTAAATAATCTTCCTTTTTTTTTTTATCTTATATTTTAAGTAAAATATATAAGTAAAAGAAAAAAAAGTATTTATTATTTAAATGTTACATTGATTTTTTTATATTTTTAATGAATAATTTATATATACAACTTTTATATCAAGTTTGAAAATTTTGTAAGTAATAGGTCCTGTGGCGCAACGGATAACGCGTCTGACTACGGATCAGAAGATTCCAGGTTCGAATCC